ACGTCTATTTTGACTATGCAACTGTGACATCCACCAAATAATTGTTTACTTTAATGAAACTAGCGTCCAGACTGGCCATTTTTAGTAATACTCACGCGTATAAAATATAATTTATACTATTATTTTTAATTAATTGTCATTTTATTATTTATTACTTTTAAAATAATAATAGTAGATAATAGTATAAAAGATAATAAACCATCACATAACTATCATTTGTTAAAAATAGAAGTTAAAATTTAAAATAAAATCTGAAAAGGATATATTTGAAAGAAAAAAAAACTACACCAAAATCATGTTTTTCCTTTATATATAGGTATAGATATATAGGTATAATGATAAATTTTTAATTAAACTAAGTTATAAAATATAAATAAAAGTGTATGTCATTGAACAAAATAATATTTACTTATAGGCAAAAACACATTGTTGATTCAAATATTTGTATATAGATTCAAATATATAAGTAATGTCAAAACAAAAATAATATTTATATACAGGAAAAAATACATTGTTGATTAAATTATATATATATATATATATATATATATATATATATATATATATATATATATATATATATATATATATATATATATATATATATATATATATATATATATATATATATATATATATATATATATATGATTTAAATAATTTTATATATGAAAAAAATTATATGCACTGATTTATCATCTCTTTTTAAGATAATACGCTTTTTTGATTAAACATTTTTATATTTTATTTTATTTTTATTATATTTTGAGAAAATTGCGCGTATCATACCGGTATTCGTGCGAATTCACGAGTATCCCACTAGAATTTGTGCGAACACACGAGTTATTACATTTTTTTATAATTAAAGAAAATAAAAATATATTTAAAACAATGTCTGAATCCAAACACAGACAAAATGTGTTTATTTATGTTACTAATATTTATTTATATAATTAAAATAATCTTTACAAATCCTATATTATTAGTTGGTTTTTATAAAATTAAATGATTGTATAAATATTTTTATAAGTAATAAAAAAACAAAATTAATATTTACATAAAAAATACGATTGATCCAAATATCTTTATATATAAAATAATTATATTTATGTTTCAAATATAAATAAAAATATATTTTTCTTTTGAAAATAATAATGTTTTTTTTAAATAGTTTTGTCTTTTTTTTTTATTTTATATTTTTGAAATAAATGCGTGTAACACACACCGGTACCTGTTCGAATGCACGGGTATTCTAATAATTTATTTTTATGAATGTGTGTTTTACCAATTTGCATCTTAAGATGTATTTAAATATTTTTTTAGTTAAAACTTATTAAAATAGACATTCATAAAAAAAATTGAATATATATATATATATATATATATATATATATATATATATATATATATATATATATATATATATATATATATATATATATATATATATATATATATATATATATATATATATATATATATATATATATATATATATATATATATATATATATATATATATATATATATATATATATATATATATATATATATATATATATATATATATATATATACACCATCACATACACTTTTTACGATAAATCAAACTAAATTTTTATGAAATACACAACTATTTGAAGTATAATAGACCTTACAAATTAAAACCTATCAGATTTTTTTAATGCACTCCATATGTTTTTTATGCATTACGTGGAATTTTAAAATTGTTTCTAGTTTATTAGATGCATTTTTAGATGCTTTAGCCGAATGAGGATTGGTTTCAGTCAATTTTGTCCTTATCCAACCTGAAGGACTTGTGCATGACCAGTTATACTACGCTCAACCACGAAATGATTAATGCATTCGTGGAGAGATAACATTAGGAGACCTCGTTGTTTCATCTCCTGCATGGTTAGATATTTATCACACTCGACGATGTCTCGTGTTTTCTACATCTTTCGATTAGGGGGAGATTCCTAGATCTTGGAAGGATGAAAAAAAAGAGGCATTTGAGATGATGGTAGAGTATCTTGGGGCTGATCCAGGAGAGGAGGCGAAGGAGTTGGATAAGATCAGGGGTGCTCATGCTAGATTTGAATGTCTGAAGAAGTTAAATGAGGTCGAGATCCCGACTACACAATAGGCTGATGCTGATGATAAACAGGTGGTGCTCTACAAATCGCATGCATTGAGAGCCTACTTGCTTTATTTAGTTGACACTACGATTTTTGTGGACAAGACTGTCATCTATACAAACGTCGTCTACCTACGGTACTTCTTAGATTTTGAGCGAATTCATGAGTACAACTGAGGGAGGCTTGTTTGGCATACATGTCTTCGAAGTTGACAGATGGATGTATGTGAAAGACGAAGCAGGTCACATGCAACATGACACTACTGACGGTAATAATTATTGGTCTTTGATTTTTTTTCATTTTCATTTCATCTTTGCACAGTCATTACCGATGATTCGTGTGTTTCAAACTATTCATTTCAGGCTTGGATCCTCCAGCACTTCCCGCGCATCTCTGGCTGGGCGAGTGTACCTGAGTACAATGAGGATATGTCGCATGCTACTGGTTTTATCCCGCTTAGATGGAACTAGGAGATCAAGCCTTTTAGAGTCTATCTTGATCGTTTGGTTGTTGAGGACATGCACTTCAACAACTATGTCGATCACCATCAGACGCTACCATTTAAGATATGATGTTATACTCTGGATGATTCGTATGCGGATTACGTCTCACTGCTCCTCATCTTCCCGAGCACGTCATGCGGTAGTTTGGATACACTCAGACCATTCCTAGGCACTATGTTGTCTTTGCGCCTCCTGCCTTGACACGTAGACAGATAGATGCGTGTTTGATGATTATGAGAGTCATATGGTACCAGAGGAGCCACGGACTACCATAGCTAAGAGCAACTGGAGCTACGTTGAATGGTAGATCAGATGGTTCTTCAGGGTCTCACATTCGTACATGGTGCATGTTGCTCCAGGAGATACGCCGAGACCTACTCTTCAGGATATACTAGAGGAGGATGAGGCACAGCTAGATCATGTTGAGGATGTCTTGCCTAGGTGTCGTCGCATGGTAGAGATTGTGCAGGCAGACATTGACAGAAGTATCTTCCCCAATGGGTCTGATGTTAGGCAGGTCCTAGATGCCATTATGATGAAGGCACGATGAACATTGTTGTACCGGAGACAGCGTTGGAGGCAGGGGGATTGATGGACGGGGAGGTAGACGAGGCAGAGGAGGTAGATGAAAGGTAGTCAGACATACACAGTAATGTCTTAGTATATAATAGTAATACTATGATATGTATTTTATTTTGATGGTCTTATTATTGTACTGATCTCCATTATATGAAATTTTCAACATTTATTGGTATTTTATTTTTGTATGACATTTTTGGACCATCTAAATTATGTACGTAGATTTTTTATTTTTAATTGTACGGTATAGTTTAAATCTCCATCTGAACACATAAGGTAATCATATAATATAAAAGACCTATTCTGATGTGTTATGGAGACGTATCTCTGGAATATTCACAGAGATACATTTCTGGTACAACTCAAATGTAAATGACTTCTGAGTGGGATGTATTGAATGTTTTAAATTGTTGCAGAGTTGTATCTTTGAAATATTTCAATATTTATTTAAAAATTGATGCGTCTAGAGATGAATCTCCAGAAACTAAGGGCATTTAAATAATTTCGCGTGATGGCTAAAAAATATTAAAAATGCATTTAAAAATCTTCAAAAATTAAAAGTGTGTTTGAATAATATATTTCAATGAAAGAATGTAATATTTTAAATGAATTTAAGATGATTTATACGTAAAAGAATATGAAGAATTGTTAAAATAGTAAAATTTATAAAGTATTTTGCTCAAATTAAATTTAATAATTTTGAAATTACATAAAAAAAATTCAAATTTCTCTAACATTCTATAAAATTTGAATATCAAATTGATCCCCATATTTTTTAAAATTTTACAATTAACCTCTAAATTTTATAAAAAAAATCGCAAATTGATCTAATAATTTTCAAACTGACCTCTTTAACTTTTAAAAATTGCAAATTGATCAATGTTTTTAAATTTTAAATTTTGGTCCAATAACTTTAAATTTTATAAAAATGACTCCAAAAATTTAATAACAAATAATTGTAATACTCCATCCAAACAAAACAAAAATGAATAAATTATAACTGAATTATTTAAATGATTGAGATTTTTAAATTCCTTAATCATTTCCAATTACCTCATCAAAACTCTCTAAAGTTGTTACATTAAAAAGAAAATTCAAATTAATTCTTCAAATTTATAATATCTTTTCACTTTTTTATCCCATCTATTCAATGTTGTTAGAGGGTTGTTTTCAACTAAGAAGCATACACCACTTATTCACTCAAAAGTTTAAAGTAATAGGTATATGAGTTCTCTCACTTATAAATACTCAAGTCACTATATTTATATCCAATGTGAGACTATTATCCACGCTACTCACACTTGTTAATACTTAACAAATGTAGAGCTTGTATTTAAAAAGGGCAATGGCTAATTTGACCACAATTACATGTAGTCGAGTATTTCACCCCTTTGATTAACTTAAATGTTACAATACTATGGTGCACCTCTCTCATTGTTCATGCCCTTGTTCTCACCATTGTTTCTTGCCAAGAAAGCACAATGTATCATCAGGAAAAGTACAAGTTCTAAGTTAAAAGCAATTTTTTCTCAAACATGCATAATTAGTTGCTCATCAAGCTGAACCATGCACTGATCCGAACTACGAAGTACCTGAATTAAGGAAAAGTGATGCTTTACAGCACAGACATGCAAACTCTTTGCAGTAGCAGACTAATCTAGATCATTATATTTTCTCAATAGGTTAAACAAAATTAGTTCCATGTCAACTTAGATACATGATAACATCTGGTGCAATACAGCAAAAAAGAAACAAAAATTTGTCTATCGCACCTTTGGAACTAGAGCTTGATTACAACTCCTTCAAAAATTCCATCGGTCCTAAAGTTAGGTGCAAAGAGTCTTGGATCAACAGGTCCTGGAAGATTGAATGAAAGTGTGAATGGTCCAGGAGAGCATAACTGCTGAGTTTTCATCTGGAAAAAACGTGACTGTTTCTCTATAGTTCTTCCACCAGATAACAGTCCTCTGATCTCAACCTTTCCATCCGATTCAATATCACAACTAAACTGATCTGCAAAAAGGGCATGTCAGATTATAGAATTTCTTGTTCGTGGCTAAATTAGCAATTATTAAATGTTATTTTTTATATATTAAAAGAAATTCCATAACATAGAACTTTGAATTCTTTTAAAAATCGCCCTGGATAGTGTAGTTGTTCTCACTTCTCAGAATTATTGAAGTTGCTAGGTATTCTTAGCAGCACTCAACACCAATCAAAATATCTCGAAGAACAATATTCATGTCTTTAGAATTTCTGATAATAAGGCATGTTAAAAATGCAGGCTATTAGTACTTTATCGATAAACATTCATGATTTTTGACCAAGATAAATGAAAAAGATAATCAAAGATAATAATATAACTAGAAGAAACATGAGTAAATAGAAAGAGGAGAAACATACTGTACTCTCTCTTGACACCTGGTAAGGAAACTCGAAATAGATACGCCACTTTACTAATACCAATATCCACAACACCAACGGACGGACCAAGTATCCCTCTCTTCGCTGTCCCTGTTAAAACAACAGAACAATCTTGCACACAATGGTCAACATGAGATAACGAGATAAGCGGCATCATCGAAGGCCCATCAGAATGACACATCATGTTGGAAGAAGGATCGCCACTAGAAGTATTTGGAAATTCCGACATTAAAGGAGTATCCTCACCAGCATACTTTCTCGTACACTCCGGTTGAAACTTCTTCGACTGCGACCCCTCATTGTTAACACATCCACTATCATTATCATTATCACTTTCTCTGCTCAACTGAGGGTGAACCCGAACACCAAGACATTCACTTAAATCCAACTTGAAAGTACTAACACCTGTTAACGACCTAAACCTATCCAAATCCTCGTCTTTAACACACATCGTAACAAGAGGATCATCAATCAAAACAACCCCTTTAATAATTCTAAAACTATCAGGATACCAAATCTGTGGATGAAGATTCAAAGGGAAAATATTTGTGAATTGTTGACAACCCTCTGAAAATTCAGAATTGGGCAAATCCAATTTTCCCTTTAAATACATATGAAACATGTTAAGATCTAATATAAGTTCAGGAAGTGCATTTTTGAGGAGATAGTAATACAATTTCTCTAAGAGAGGAATTGTAACATAAGAGGAACCTAAATCATTGGAACTATAAGGTGGTAATCCTGAGAATAGCCTTTGAAGTGATGAACATTTGGGATTATCAGACTTAACATCAGGTCCTAGGTAAGTAGTGATTATGAAATCAATGAGGAATTTTCTGTCACTTACAATGATTTTTGTTGATTTGATTGTGAGAGATTTTCGCTTGTAACAGAGGTTTTTTCCTTTGAAATCCATGGGAATTGAAAAACCTAAAATGAGGATGAAATGAAATGAATCACGTTAATGGATTGATAGAAGCATTTTTGGAAAAAAAAATGAAAACCTAGGTGTGTGATTGAGAATTGAGATGGAGAAAAATGAAAAACTTACAATGTGGGTAGTTAGAAGAAGAAGGAAAGAGGGATTTGATGGAGCTTGATGAAGGGTTTTCCTTCCTTCGAAACAGTTTCGAGGTTTCAAGGGTTTTGACTTTCTACCTGTGACTTCTCACTTTAAAGGTGCCTCTCATTTTGTAATATTCACCTCAATAATTAAGAATAAGCTAATTTGTGTTATAAGAGATGGGTTAAGAAATTTTAAAATAGAAGGTTAGAAGTGAGACTATTAATGGGAAGTTATGTTAGGACATTATAAAATGTACGGAGTAAATGAAGTGAAACCGAGAAGAATGAAATGGGGTGAAGTAGAATGAAATGGAGTGGAATAAATATATCATTCTACTATTTTAAAATTTTAGAATGAAATAAATTGTTTATTTCGCAAAAATTAAAGGAAAAGAAATATGATGGTAAGTGATAGAATGAAATAGAATTTGTAACAGCTCGATTTTTAATAACTGATTAATTGTACTAATTAGTTGGTTTGTAGGGTTTAAAGTGAATTATTGTATTTAACTGATTTATTCTAATTGGTAGAATCATGAGGATTTATCATATGTTTTCTAACCAATGTCAAGATGAGATATTTTATGAGAAAATGAATTGACAAATATTTTAAGAGAAGAAATATAATTGGAGAGAAATAGGAAGGCAGGATATATATATATATATATATATATATATATATATATATATATATATATATATATATATATATATATATATATATATATATATATATATATATATATATATATATATATATATATATATATATATATATATATATATATATATATATATATATATATATATATATATATATATATATATATATATATATATATATATATATATATATATATATATATATATATATATATATATATATATATATATATATATATATATATATATATATATATATATGGGGGAAGAGGAACGGCAATGGATAATAGAAAACATGAAAGGAAAGTGGAGGAAGAAGAAAAAGTAGAAGGAAAAAGAAGGAAAAGCTTGGAAAAGCTCAAGAACGACTTCTACCTTCCGATTAATCGAGGTAAGGGTGTGAAATTTTACTATCTTAATCAATGTGTATGATTATGCATGTGTGTGTTTGGATTTGTTGGGGGTTTCCTACATTTTTCTATTTTTAGGTCAAAATGAGTTTAATTGGTAGAAACTGAGTTTTATCGATTAGAATTGGAATAGACGGTGTAGTATAGTCGAGTGATGAGTGGGCTGTGCTACTGGAACTGATTTGGATTAAATCGATTGGTTTTGTGAGGTTTGGGCTTTTGAACAGCCATGGAAGTTCTGATCTCGCAGGTTCGCCAGGCGAAGCCCAGCGAACGGTAGCGAATCAAGTCAGAACCAAACACCCTGTCTTCGTTGGCAAGTTCGCCAGGCGAATGAGTGTGGTGAAGGTTCTCCGGGCGAGTGTGCTAGCGAGTAATTCCAGAATAAATCCCAGTGGTCTTCGCTGGCAAGTTCGCCAGGCGAACGGGTAGCGAAGGTTCGCCAGGGGCTTCGCCAAGCGAAGGTTAGTGAACACAGCAGCATGTTTTCTTTTCTTGTGCTTTCCATTCGTGGATTGATTGTATGGTTTAGTTGCGATCATTCCTTGTCTGAGATGACTAATTATATGTTGTTATGTGTGCCATGGGTAGCCGTATGGCGTGAATCCTAGATTATGAATTGATTGTGAATATGTGGCATTTTGGCATATGTGACGCATTGTTTAAATTGATTGAAAATGCATGATGGATGTGATTGAGTCTATTGCCGCTTGGCACGATATTTGCAAGTGCATATTGCTCGTATGTGATGTATGATGATTGTAAATGTGAACCATGTTTAAAGATTGTGAGTGCATAATGAACATATGCGATTAACATGTTGAATGCATGAGTATGTTTGTAAACATGTGTGCATTTCAAGAGTGTCACGAGTCATGTTGCATGTGAAGCATCATGGTATGCATTCTTGTGTGTTTGATTCCTCGGAGAATCTGCAGAACCTCGTGTGCCCTCGTGGGGTGTGAGCGATGGTTATTTATTGATCCCTCGGAGGATTTGCAGAACCTCGTATGTTGCGATGGTTATATTGATTCCTTGGAGAATCTGCAGAACCTCGTGTGCCCTCGTGGGGTGTGAGCGATGGTTATTTATTGATCCCTCGGAGGATTTGCAGAACCTCGTATGTTGCGATGGCTATATTGATTCCTCGGAGAATCTGCAGAACCTCGTGTGCCCTTGTGGGGTGTGAGCGATGGTTATTTATTGATCCCTCGGAGGATTTGCAGAACCTCGTATGTTGCGATGGTTATATTGATTCCTCGGAGAATCTGCAGAACCTCGTGTGCCCTTGTGGGGTGTGAGCGATGGTTATTTATTGATCCCTCGGAGGATTTGCAGAACCTCGTATGTTGCGATGGTTATATTGATTCCTCGGAGAATCTGTAGAACCTCGTGTGCCCTTGTGGGGTGTAAGCGATGGTTATTTTTTGTTCTTCAACTGAACCTGCTGAAATGAGTCGGTACCGCATTTGCATCTGCATAGAGTCGTGTGCCGGTCTCTATGAGTTGCATGTTGTCATCTTCATATGATGTATTGGTGAAATAAACATGAATGTAAATGTTTATGTGATTTAGCAATGGAATAAACATGTTGTAAATGTTTACGTGAAAATGATGTGATTTATAGAAGTATGATTGTATATGCTTATATGATTCGCGGTAAATGAAACATAATGTATATGTGATTGTTAGGAGAAGTGTGCATATGTGTGTGTGTGTGTGTGTGTGTGTGTGTGTGTGTGTGTGTGTGTGTGTGTGTGTGTGTGTGTGTGTGTGTGTGTGTGTGTATATATATATATATATATATATATATATATATATATATATATATATATATATATATATGATATGTTGATGTGGGAGTGGTGAGTGTTTGAATTGATTGAGAAATGTGGCATATATGTATTCTATGATTGTTTGTATACATAATTATATGCATTGTTATTATGATAATATTTCTCACCCTTCTGTTGTTTTATGATGCTCTATGAGGTATTGCAGATTAGGATTGCTGGAGGTGTATTTTGGAGTATAGCTCCTTTTCTCTTGAGTCGGTCGCTCTGATATGTAACGTCGGGTAGCTAGGCTTGTAGAGTATCTTCGTGATACATTATATATATGTAATAGTTGATGATGTTTGGTAAACTGTATTTGATGTTATGAACAACCTAATGACGTGTACTTGTATTTTATCATGTCTTAAGTAATTCAATGTTTTAGTCTTCCGCTTTAACAGAAAACATGAATATGCTTATTTTAAGAACCATGCGTTTATTCTTTTTAGTTGAGATTTACCCCTTTTGAATTATTTCTTTATAAACATTAATATTCATGCGGTCGTTTCGTGAGTAATGTGACGCACTTCTTCTATACCATGAAATAAATATACTTTGATGGAATTTTTAATTCGTGCCTAAATGATTTAATTGTGTTATTTGGGGGTATAGAAAGGGGGCGTTACAGAATTTATACCATTTTATTTCACTCTGTTCTATTTAATTTTAAATGATTCAAATAACGGAATATCATTACATTCCATCTCATTCTGCTCTGCTCCATCAGATCTCATCAATCCAAATAAAACCTCTAAGAGTATATTATTGATAAAATTCCGTTGATGAATTAAAATTGTATTTGGGAGGTTTGATATTTCTCTATTATGATATGACTTCTTACTAAATTACTAAAAGAAACTCAGTAATAGAAGGAAGGATTTTGATGTTGCAGTTATGCATGCAGTCGAAAAGAAACTCAGTAATAGAAGGAAGAATTTTGATGTTCAAGAAAATTGTGGAAGAAAATCACTAAAAAATTGAGATGAAATTGACCTAACAATAAGATTGAGACAAATTCACATAGCAAGAAACGTGTTTCGTACTAACATGGACCATGGTAAAAGAATTACTTTAAGGCATGGGAATCTCGTCAAGTTTACTATCTATGTGTAAAATCAATGTAGAATACCAAAAATGACATGCATCTTGAATTGATAGAGAAACATTTGGAGATTTGGTAGAATATCTAAATGGTTCAAAAACACACGGGAAACATTAGAGTTAACAAACAATAATAAAGATGGAGATCCAGAAAATAACTGTTTTGTTTTACTCTGAAACTATGCGATGATCAGAGAGGAAGAATTTGTGGTTTGTTGCGGTGGCTCAAAATTTTCAATTCGTTGGAGAAGGGGGTTGGCTTGTAAGGTTAGCACTTCAACGCGCAAAAGTCAATAAATGATTCAGATATCTAAATGTAGGATGGGTTCACTCTTAAAGTGGGTCCCACTATTTATTTAGAAAAAAAAGTTTTTATATGAATTGTTTTATTTGGGACAAACCCAATTGGCATATATTTAAAAAAAAATATTAGCCTTCCTTTGTCAATATGTACAAATCTTTCGACTCTTATATGGATACTACCATGTGGTCGAAAGATTTGTCAACATTGACAAAGGAAAAGCTTCAAAGGACGTTTGAATCTAATGAGCAAAGAATACATGAAAGAGATGGAAGCAAGTTGAAGACTGATGTGTCTTTGCAGGCACAAGCAGCAAGAGAAAAGAAAGGAAAAGGGAAGTGGTTTGACAACAAAGGTAGATGAGGCTACAACAGTTCGATTGGTCAAAATACGCAAGAAGGAGGGTGGTCGGATCAGAGAAAGTCCTCATACCAAAGCAACCAAAGAGGTGGTGTTGTAGGTAGAGGAAGAGGTGATGGTCGAAAACCTAACAAAAGTCACATTCAGTGTTTCAATTGTTAGAAGTATGGTCACTACTTTA